TGCCACGGGCCCCTGTACCGCCTTCTCATACTGCTGCTGCCAGATCCGCCACCCTGCTGCCATGTGCCTCTTTGTCGTCTGCTCACGCTGCTGGCTGACGGCTTCCGTTTTTAAACCTAGGCCTGTGTATGGCTTCCGAATACTGCTGCCTCCACCGCCACCCTGCGCCATGTGCCTCTGTGTCGTCTGCTCACGCTGCTGACGGCTTCCGCTTTTTAAACTAGGCCTGTGTTTGGCTTCCGAATACTGCTGCCATCCACCGCCACCCTGCGCCATGTGCCTCTCTGTCGTCTGCACACGCTGCTGACGGCTTCCGCTTTTTAACCTAGGCCTGTGTATGGCTTCCGATACTGCTGCTGCCTCCACCCACCCCTGCGCCATGTGTCTCTGTCGTCTGCTCACACGCTGCTGACGGCTTCCGCTTTTTAACCGAGGCCTGTGTTTGGCTTCCGAAATACTGCTGCATCCACCGCCACCCTGCGCCATGTGCCTCTGTCGTCTGCTCACGCTGCTGACGGCTTCCGCTTTTTAACCGAGGCCTGTGTTTGGCTTCCGAATACTGCTGCATCCACCGCCACCCCTGCGCCATGTGCCTCTGTCGTCTGCTCACTGCTGCTGACGGCTTCCGCTTTTTAACCTAGGCCTGTGTATGGCTTCCGAATACTGCTGCCTCCACCGCCACCCTGCGCCATGTGCCACTTTCAGGTCTCCTTACACTGTTGGTGACGGCTTTCCATTTTTTAATAGCCTGTGTATGGCTTCCCATACTGCTGCCTCCACCGCCACCCCTGCGCCATGTGCCCTCTGTCGTCTGCTCACGCTGCTGACGGCTTCCGCCTTAACCGAGGCCTGTGTTTGGCTTCCGAATACTGCTGCATCCACCGCCACCCCACCCTGCGCCATGTGCCTCTGTCGTCTGCTCACGCTGCTGACGGCTTCCGCTTTTTAACCTAGGCCTGTGTATGGCTTCCGAATACTGCTGCCTCCACCGCCACCCTGCGCCATGTGCCACTTTCGTCTGCTTACACTGCTGGTGGGTTCCATTTTGTGATAGGGTGTGTATGGCCTTCCGAATACTGCTGCCTCCACCGCCACCCTGCGCCATGTGCCTCTGTCGTCTGCTCACGCTGCTGACGGCTTCCGCTTTTTAACCGAGGCCTGTGTTTGGCTTCCGAATACTGCTGCCTCCACCGCCACCCTGCGCCATGTGCCTCTGTCGTCTGCTCACGCTGCTGACGGCTTCCGCTTTTTAACCTAGGCCTGTGTATGGCTTCCGAAATACTGCTGCCTCCACCGCCACCCTGCGCCATGTGCCTCTGTCGTCTGCTCACGCTGCTGACGGCTTCCGCTTTTTAACCTAGGCCTGTGTATGGCTTCCGAATACTGCTGCCTCCACCGCCACCCTGCGCCATGTGCCACTTTCTGTCTCCTTACACTGTGCTGACGGCTTCGCTTTTTGTGATAGGCCTGCTGTATGGCCTTCCGAATGCTGCTGCCTCCACCGCCACCCTGCGCCATGTGCCTCTGTCGTCTGCTCACGCTGCTGACGGCTTCCGCTTTTTAACCGAGGCCTGTGTTTGGCTTCCGAATACTGCTGCATCCACCGCCACCCTGCGCCATGTGCCTCTGTCGTCTGCTCACGCTGCTGACGGCTTCCGCTTTTTAACCTAGGCCTGTGTATGGCTTCCGAATACTGCTGCCTCCACCGCCACCCTGCGCCATGTGCCTCTGTCGTCTGCTCACGCTGCTGACGGCTTCCGCTTTTTTAACCTAGGCCTGTGTATGGCTTCCGAATACTGTGCCTCCACCGCCACCCTGCGCCATGTGCCTCTTTCAGGTCTCCTTACACTCACGCTGCTGACGGGTTCCATTTTGTGATAGGGCCTGCTGTATGGCCTTCCGCTGCTGCTGCCTCCACCGCCACCACACCCTGCGCCATGTGCCTCTGTCGTCTGCTCACGCTGCTGACGGCTTCCGCTTTTTAACCGAGGCCTGTGTTTGGCTTCCGAATACTGCTGCCTCCACCGCCACCCTGCGCCATGTGTGCCTCTTGTCTGTCGTCTGCTCACACTGCTGCTGACGGCTTCCGCTTTTTTAACCTAGGCCTGTGTATGGCTTCCGAATACTGCTGCCTCCACCGCCACCCTGCGCCATGTGCCCTCTGTCGTCTGCTCACACGCTGCTGACGGCTTCCATTTTTTAACCTAGGCCTGTGTATGGCCTTCCGAATACTGCTGCCTCCACCGCCACCCTGCGCCATGTGCCTCTGTCGTCTGCTCACGCTGCTGACGGCTTCCCGCTTCCGCTTTTTAACCGAGGCCTGTGTTTGGCTTCCGAATACTGCTGCATCCACCGCCACCCTGCGCCATGTGCCCTCTGTCGTCTGCTCACTGCTGCTGACGGCTTCCGCTTTTTAACCTAGGCCTGTGTATGGCTTCCGAATACTGCTGCTGCCCCACCGCCACCCTGCGCCATGTGCCACTCTGTCAGGTCTGCTACACTGCTGCTGACGGCTTCCTTTTTTTGATAGGCCTGCTGTATGGCTTCCGAATACTGCTGCCTCCACCGCCACCCTGCGCCATGTGCCTCTGTCGTCTGCTCACGCTGCTGACGGCGCTTCCGCTTTTTAACCGAGGCCTGTGTTTGGCTTCCGAATACTGCTGCATCCACCGCCACCCTGCGCCATGTGCCCTCTGTCGTCTGCTCTCACTGCTGCTGACGGCTTCCGCTTTTTAACCTAGGCCTGTGTTTGGCTTCCGAATACTGCTGCATCCACCGCCACCCCTGCGCCATGTGCCTCTGTCGTCTGCTCACGCTGCTGACGGCTTCCGCTTTTTAACCTAGGCCTGTGTATGGCTTCCGAATACTGCTGCTGCCTCCACCGCCACCCTGCGCCATGTGCTCTTTCAGGTCTGCTTCACTGCTGCTGACGGCTTTCCATTTTGTAATAGGGTGCTGTATGGCCTTCCGAATGCTGCTGCTGCCTCCACCGCCACCCTGCGCCATGTGCCTCTGTCGTCTGCTCACGCTGCTGACGGCTTCCGCTTTTTTTAACCGAGGCCTGTGTTTGGCTTCCGAATACTGCTGCATCCACCGCCACCCTGCGCCATGTGTCTCTGTCGTCTGCTCACGCTGCTGACGGCTTCCGCTTTTTAACCTAGGCCTGTGTATGGCTTCCGAATACTGCTGCCTCCACCGCCACCCTGCGCCATGTGCCACTGTCAGGTCTGCTTACACTGTTGTGGGTTCCATTTTGTATAGAGGCCTGCTGTTATGGCCTTCCATTACTGCTGCCTCCCACCGCCACCCTGCGCCATGTGCCTCTGTCGTCTGCTCACGCTGCTGACGGCTTCCGCTTTTTAACCGAGCCTGTGTTTGGCTTCCGAATACTGCTGCATCCACCGCCACCCCTGCGCCATGTGCCTCTGTCGTCTGCTCACACGCTGCTGACGGCTTCCGCTTTTTAACCTAGGCCTGTGTATGGCTTCCGAATACTGCTGCCTCCACCGCCACCCTGCGCCATGTGCCTCTGTCGTCTGCTCACACGCTGCTGACGGCTTCCGCTTTTTAACCGAGGCCTGTGTTTGGCTTCCGAATACTGCTGCCTCCACCGCCACCCTGCGCCATGTGTCTCTGTCGTCTGCTCACGCTGCTGACGGCTTCCGCTTTTTTAACCGAGGCCTGTGTTTGGCTTCCGAATACTGCTGCCATCCACCGCCACCCTGCGCCATGTGTCTCTGTCGTCTGCTCTCCTGCTGACGGCTTCCGCTTTTTAACCTAGGCCTGTGTATGGCTTCCGAATACTGCTGCCTCCACCGCCACCCTGCGCCATGTGCCTCTTTCGTCTGCTCTTACACTGCTGACGGCTTCCATTTTTAATAGGCCTGCTGTATGGCCTTCCAATACTGCTGCCTCCACCGCCACCCTGCGCCATGTGCCTCTGTCGTCTGCTCACGCTGCTGACGGCTTCCATTTTTTTAACCTAGGCCTGTGTTTGGCTTCCGAATACTGCTGCCTCCACCGCCACCCTGCGCCATGTGCCTCTGTCGTCTGCTCACGCTGCTGACGGCTTCCGCTTTTTAACCGAGGCCTGTGTTTGGCTTCCGAATACTGCTGCTGCATCCACCGCCACCCTGCGCCATGTGCCTCTGTCGTCTGCTCACGCTGCTGACGGGCTTCCGCTTTTTAACCGAGGCCTGTGTTTGGCTTCCGAATACTGCTGCTGCTCCCCCACCCACCCCACCCTGCGCCATGTGTCTCTGTCGTCTGCTCACGCTGCTGACGGCTTCCGCTTTTTAACCTAGGCCTGTGTGTATGGCTTCCGAATACTGCTGCCTCCACCGCCACCCTGCGCCATGTGCCACTGTCGTCTGCTCCACACTGCTGACGGCTTTCCGCTTTTTAATAGGCCTGTGTATGGCTTCCGAATACTGCTGCTGCCTCCACCGCCACCCCCCTGCGCCATGTGCCTCTGTCGTCTGCTCACGCTGCTGCTGACGGCTTCCGCTTTTTTAACCTAGGCCTGTGTATGGCTTCCGAATACTGCTGCCTCCACCGCCACCCTGCGCCATGTGCCACTGTCGTCTGCTCACGCTGCTGACGGCTTCCGCTTTTTGAAGGGAGGCCTGTATGGCTTCCGAATACTGCTGCCTCCACCGCCACCCTGCGCCATGTGCCTCTGTCGTCTGCTCACACTGCTGCTGACGGCTTCCGCTTTAACCTAGGCCTGTGTATGGCTTCCGAATACTGCTGCATCCACCGCCACCCTGCGCCATGTGCTCTCTGTCGTCTGCTCACGCTGCTGACGGCTTTCCGCTTTTTAACCTAGGCCTGTGTATGGCTTCCGAATACTGCTGCCATCCACCGCCACCCTGCGCCATGTGCCTCTGTCGTCTGCTCACGCTGCTGACGGCTTCCGCTTTTTAAACCGAGGCCTGTGTTTGGCTTCCGAATACTGCTGCATCCACCGCCACCCTGCGCCATGTGCCTCTGTCGTCTGCTCACGCTGCTGACGGCTTCCGCTTTTTAACCTAGGCCTGTGTATGGCTTCCGAATACTGCTGCCTCCACCGCCACCCTGCGCCATGTGCCACTTCTCAGGTCTCCTACACTGCTGCTGGTTCCATTTTGTGATAGGCCTGCTGTATGGCCTTCCAATGCTGCTGCCTCCACCGCCACCCTGCGCCATGTGCCTCTGTCGTCTGCTCACGCTGCTGACGGCTTCCGCTTTTTAACCGAGGCCTGTGTTTGGCTTCCGAATACTGCTGCCTCCACCGCCACCCTGCGCCATGTGTCTCTGTCGTCTGCTCACGCTGCTGACGGCTTCCGCTTTTTAACCTAGGCCTGTGTATGGCTTCCGAATACTGCTGCCTCCACCGCCACCCCTGCGCCATGTGCCTCTGTCGTCTGCTCACGCTGCTGACGGCTTTCCGCTTTTTTTAACCTAGGCCTGTGTATGGCTTCCGAATACTGCTGCCTCCACCGCCACCCTGCGCCATGTGCCTCTGTCGTCTGCTCACGCTGCTGACGGCTTCCGCTTTTTAAACTAGTCCTGTGTATGTCTTCCGAATGCTGTATGGCCTTCCATTGCTGCTGCCTCCACCGCCCACCCTGCGCCATGTGCCTCTGTCGTCTGCTCACGCTGCTGACGGCTTCCGCTTTTTAACCGAGGCCTGTGTTTGGCTTCCGAATACTGCTGCATCCACCGCCACCCTGCGCCATGTGTCTCTGTCGTCTGCTCACGCTGCTGACGGCTTCCGCTTTTTAACCTAGGCCTGTGTATGGCCTTCAATTGAAGCTGCTTCTGCTCCGCCACTCTGCCATTGGACTCTTGATAGTCGTCTCCCCACGCTGCTGCTGGGGGAACTTTTTAACATAGGCCTCTGTATGGCCTTCAATTTTAGCTGCTTACGCTCCGCCACTCTGCCATGGGCCCCTGTACCGCCTCCTCATGCTGCTGCCAGGCCCGTAATCTGCCATGGCCCCCGTACAGACTCCTCATGCTGCTGCCAGGCCCCTAATCTGTCATGGGCCCCTGTACCGCCTCCTCATGCTGCTGCCAGGTCCAGAGTGTGTCATGGGTCCCTGTACGGCCTCCCATTGCTGCTGTCTCCATCGCCACACTCTGCCATGTGCCACTTTCAGGTCTCCTCACACTGCTGGTGGGTTCCATTTTGTCATAGGGTGCTGTATGGCCTCCCATTGCTGCTGCCTCCACCGCCACACTGTGGCTCCACACTCTGGTTTTGGCCCCGTGACTGCCCAAATGAGTGAAGTGTGCGGTGATTCTAAGATCGACGGCACTCATCTGCATGTCATACTGACTGACAGTATTATTTCTCTTCCCCAGCAGACTCCAAGGGCATTTAAATTAAAGGTACAGTGTTCTGCACTAATATAAAGGCTCTCTGAAGCCTAGAAACACCCTTTTTATAAGTTATATTCGCAGCGAATATATTCGGCACGAAGCGAATTTAATCGGCGAATTCGGCGAATCAGCCGAACCGAATTTTTGAATAATTCGCCCATCTCTAACCAGTTCCTCAGCAGACACAGAGCCCTCTGCAGACCAGAAATCCTCCATCATAACGACTTTGAACCTACTTTGTCCCAAATCATGCTGTCAAGCGAGTACTGTAAAGCAGCATTTACTTCACATATTGACATCATGCATATTGATCTCTTCCTACTTAAACAGGATTTACAAAATATACAAGAATGCACTGCAGTTACAGAAAACATAATTAATACACTGAAAGACACTGCTTTTAAACTCTCTACTGGCATGTGGGAGCTTTAAAAATCTTCTGTTATTCTTATTTCAAATTTAGTTGATTTAGAAAACCATTCAAGGTGTAATAATTTGCATGTTGTGGACTTCCGTAAAAAGGTGACAGGGACTTCTCCAGGACCATTTCCCAAAAACTTGGATCAAAGACATGTAGAACCCTCTAGTGTGCTACTAGAATAGTGTAGAGTATTATAAGCAAAATCATTGTGGATGACTCATGATAGTTATGTGAGTCATGTGATTAAGGTCGTGTTATTGCAGGTTAGCTGGATGACTCAACAGGTTATGGCTCTATCGTCTCCTCCTGCTTCTGGGGGGACCATAGAACCTTCCAGAAGTTGGTAAGAAGGAAGGGGTGGAGGCCTAATCTGCATATTCATGGGGGTCTGGCCAATCCCAGGTTTGGAGGCCCTGGTAGAGTGATAGACTGGCCTAAAAATATGGGGGGAGTCAGGCTGATAGGGGAGTCAGGAGGAAGATGGAGTGCTGAGGAGATTGTCGGTGCCTAGGAGGGGTGCCCTAGGTTTGGGTGGGCCAGCCTCTAGGTTGGGCTTGGGCTGGCTGAGGATGATACATTCTGCAGAGAAGCGTGGATGGCATCGAGGCCTGGAGCATCAGGGAGCAAAGGGTACAGCAACATACTTTGAGCTATACAAGGGGAAAGATTGCCAAATGTAGCAAGCTTTCAAAGGACAGCAATGGGCTCAATCCTTTATCCCTGTCCCAGGAGATCTTCCAAGAGGCCAGGAGGGCTGGTAGTGCTTGCAGGCTTTGGAGCCAGGAGCAGCCCTATAAAGAGGAGAAAACATGTCTCTACATGTAGCTACAAGAAGTGAAGTGATTTTTGAGGGGCTGCTAGTTCCTCACCTATAAAGGGCAGCTGCTACTGATCTGATGGCTTTTAGGAAAAGAACAGTCCAGGATCTGCTTTTGTACATAGGAAGGAAGTGTCCCCCCTTTCATTGATTGAAGTCAATCTGAGCATCCCATAATCCCTATTTCCCTATCCAAGTTAAATTCCCCTAGTAAAACAACAAAACCAAGCCCATGGACTGGTCATTGTCTTTGGATGGAAGTTTGAATGAGAAATGCCTGTTGCCTGGCTGTGTGGAGGGGGAAACTTAGGGGTACCTACAACATATCAGCCCTTATGAGAGTAGAACTACAGACACCTTACCAGACCTAACCCTGTCACAAAAATCCCTACGTAGAGGGTCTACATGACACCAGCAAGATCACTTCCACTGGGTGCTTACACACAGCCATTGATTGCAAAGATATTATACTACAAAGACAAGGAGGCTATCCTCTGAGCTGCAGTTCTTGCTAGTGCGTTGAAACATCTCAGTGCAAAAACCTCCATAGTCTCCAAATGTCTGCTGAAGTTCAGAAACAACAAACCTCATCCAACAAAGTTAACTCTGTGATAGGGTTGTGCTTTATACTGTGATGTATGTTGTATCTGTCAAAGCTCCAAATCGTGTCAGGGGGGGAGAGGTGATGTTCTTTTCTTCCCCATCTAATGCTATAGACTGGATCCACAGAAATATGGGACTGCAACAACAAAGATCACTTAGGTAACCCCTCCTGCTTACTTACCCTTTTAATGGTATATCAGCTGGACTAACGTAACACTATGCATCATAAAAGCTATCTTTTCCCCTTACTATACCAGTTAAGCTAAGCTTTGGTGACACTATAGCCTGTCAGCCCTCAGCCAGGGACTTACTGCATTGGTTGAGCTGAATGACAGGCTTCACTAACCCCTAAGATGTTTTTCTTGTCTGTTCCTAGATTTTCTTTTATTTCACTTGGGTACTGATGAAGCTGGCCCCTTAGCTCCCAGTGCTCATTCCTCACTGTTCACTATATTTATAAGGCATGTTAAAATTTTTTCCTGCACCAGTGAGTCATGTTGGTGACTCTTGGCCCGTTTCCATGTTGACATCTGCCTCTTCCCTGTGATGACTTTGGAGTTGTTAGACTTGGCTATAGTTATTGGATTTATGTGTACCACTTTTGGACTTGGTGAGCAGGAAGAGAAGGATCTGTTTACTTTCTTTAATATAGGTTATTGCTTGTCATTAGCTTTCATTACTGAACTATGTCCTAAGTTGTTATTATTTTGCTGTCCATTGCGTTATATGCCATACATGTATAATAACATAAGAATAATTTAATAAAATAGCAAATGTCTGAATTTGAAAATCAAGCGCTCCTTGATATTCTAAGACCACATTTATTCAGTTAACAGGAATCCCACCTAATGGAATCCACAATTCTTGCCCTTAACACTTTTGCTGCCAGGCCCTGTGCTCCACTTTTAAACTCATGTGACCAGACCATTTTTGAAATTTTTCCATTGCTTTTTTCTCTTACAGCTTTTAGAGTTTGTGCAAGACCCCCCAAACCATACATTTTCTGAAAGCTTAGGATCTGTAGAATAAAAAAGGGTGCTACTGATTATTTTAGGCCCTGTGAGATTTGCACAAATGTTTATCAAAACAATAGTGGATACAGGGCAAAATTTTAAAAAAATCCTACTAAATATAAAAGCTAAAACTGTATTGAGTTGATAAATAACAAATATTTTTACATTTTAAATTGTGCATTTTGAGGAAATGGTGAAAACTGAAGGTGCGAAAACTGTAAATAAAAGCAATTTACTCTTAAAACCTGAAGGTTATAATTTTTCACTTACAGCTTTCAGTTTGTAAAAGATCCCCCCAAACCATATAATTTCTGAAAGCACATGACCTATAGAATAAAAAAAAAGTGCTCTGATTTTGTTTTGGTGGCGATGTTTTAGAGCAATGGTGTGTCAGATTTTTTTTATTTTTATTATTTAATCTTTTAATTATTTTTTAAAATTAATTTTTGTATTTTTTTTTCACTGATTTTGTGGGGACAGTGGACAGTGCCAGTAGGGCGTGAACAGGGAGCACTAGTATATGTTGGGCTGTCCTCAGATTGGGATGAATAAACAGAACCTGTACTCCCTTATATCGGAAGGAAGGAAGGAAGAATAGGGAGGGAATGAATGGATGGAGGAAGGAAGGGAGGGAGGAAAGAAGGAAGGGAGGGGATGGATGGAAGGGAAGGAAGCATAGGGAGGGAGGGAATGGATGGAGGAAATGGAAAGAAAAGGGAAAGGAAAAGACTCACGTGGATGGTTCCTGGCTTACTGGCACATTCAGAAGCACCACAGAGCTGCTGGCTGATCTGGACACAATTTCCCCACACATTCTTCTTAGAAGCTGAATGGACTGGAGTGTGGATGGGGACATGGTGAGGCGGAGCAGATCCGGGCCCTCTCCTGGGCTCTGCCATTGTTGTGGAGGATGGGGGGAGGGCTGGGCACTGTCAGAGAAGACGAGGCATCAGAGACCTACGGGGGAGGGGGCCTGAGGAGCACACGGGGGGGGGGCCAAAAGGAAAATCCGATGCACAGTAAGGGATATCAGTGCAGCAGAGAGACAGCAACAAGCAGCGATCTCCCTGTATAGCTTTCAATGAAGCAGCTGGAAGCCGTTCTCCTCCTCTCCCTCCCGCAGCTTGCAGCTGCTTCATTGAAAGATATACAGGAAGATCAGTGCTTGTTACTGTACCCACTGCTGCACCAATCATCCCCTGCCATTGCTCCTGAGTCCTAGTACATGTCATCCATGGGTGCAGGGTGTGTTCAATGAACACCCTGCACCCATGGATGATACACCACTGCCTTTCAGCTTCCCACTGCCCACCGACTCTATCACCAACAGTTTGTACAAGGCACTACCACTGCCCGGGACCCCAACTCACTCTGCCACCACGTGAAGTGAAAGGTGAGGTACTTCTGGGTTCTGAGACTGCCTCCTCCACCGCTCCCCATGCTGTCACCGGACAGTGAGCCTCTCACAGGGCCCCCTATTGACCCCGAGCCCTCGGGCTATGCCGAATGCCTGAATAGTCAGTCTGCCCCTGTACGTAATGTCCCTTTGTCTCTTTCAGTCAGTTTGACCATGTCAACTGCGCTTAAGCTTATCAGATGACTATTTATGAGAAACTGTATGAGCCGTCATAACCTTTGATAATGTACCTCAAGACAAGGCAAATAAATTGGTGACTTCAGTCACAGAAGCACCAGCTAAGCAGGCACCAACAATTGGCCCTCTTTGAAGCTCAGTAAGCTCTGACATGACTCCATATTAATAGCAGTGCAGGCAGTGAATGATGAAAAAGATGCTTCCCATCTATTAGCCAGGTGTCTCACCACACAGTGGAAGCAGAAGCATGTTACATCACTTCCACTTTCAACATGAAACATGTAATCACTTTCACGCCTGCAAATCGTAGTGTTTCCATTTTTTTTGTCTAACCCCTGTAGTGTTCCAACATTGATATGATTAA